GGTGGTTCGGGTATCTGGTAAGGATGCCCCCTGGGCACCTCCCTAGGGAGGTGCTTCAGGAATTTTCCGACTAGGGGGAGACCCCAGGGAAGACCCAGGACACGCTGGAGAGATTAAGTCTCTCGGTTGGCCTGGGAACGTATTGGAGTGTTCCCAGAAGAGCTGGAAGAGGTGGTTGTGGAAAGAGATGTCTGGACCTCCCTGCTCAAACTGCTGCCCCCGTGACCCGACTTCGGAACAAGCGGAAGATAATAATAATAATAATAATAATAATGTCATCACAATGTCAGCACTGTATGTTTCCATACAATGGCGAAATTAGTCTCTGCATTTAACCCATCCACCACCAGGTGGTGCAGTGGGCAGCTATTGAAAGCGCCCGGGGGGCATTTTGGGGATGAGGTGTGCTGCCCAGAGACGCCACGTGATGTGCAGTGACTGGGGATCGAACCTGGGACTTTCGGGTCCCAAGCTGGCTGCCCAGCCTCTACACCAACTCGGCCCGGATGAAGTTGACTATTCAGCCCAACACTGACTGTGTTTACAAAAAAGCCAGATGGCGTCTCCACTTTCTATATAAGCTAAGGAGCTTTAATGCTAGCAAAAATACTTTGCAATTGGTGTACAGGTCACTGGCTGAAAGTCTGGTTTCCTTAAATATTGTCTCATGGTATGGGAACCTCCTAGCCAGAGAGAGGATCAAGTTGTCCTGGGTGGTCAAACTAGTTAGTAAAGTCATCAACAAATACAACCTACAGACCTGTACAGTCAGACTCTGGGATAAAAGGCAATCCAGGTTTACAATGACCCAACTCATCCATTGCGATCATTATTCAGGTTGGTACCATCTGGTCTGTGATGGACATGCGACCTGTCCAGTGTGTACCCTGCCCCTCGCACAATGATTGCTGGACATGGGAACCGGCGACCCCCGTGACCCAAAATGGAAAAAGCGGGTAAAAGATAGTGGATGGATGGATGGATGGATGGTACCATCTGGTAGAAGACTGGTGGTTCCTCTGGTAAAGAAAAATGTGTACAAAAAATCGTTTGTTCCCTCTGCTGTGAGTGTCCTTAACAGGGTCCTATTTGAACGTAGCCTCACGTGACAAACCATTGTCTGCTGGGATGTTTTTATGTTTTTAATGTATTGTGTATTTTAGAATTGGTTTTATTGGGTTAGTAAAGCTTTTTAAAGTTTTATGGCTTTTTTATCTTGTGTTGTTTTGTTTGTATGAGCCAGATGTCAAAGAAAAATCTCCATCTCATGAAATGTTATGGACAATAAAGTTATATTGATTGATTGATTGTTCCTCTTACCTAAAATCTCCCACGCAAACCAACCCATCATCAAACCTCTGCTTCACTCAAAAGTCAATAAGCACAAGGCTTTTTATAGTTGTTTCAGTTATTTAGAGCTTATCCAGTACATGAAACAACATTCCTACAGGACAACCCTGATGCAACATTTGTGGATTAGTGCAAATATTACAAGAGCATACAAACAATACAGACTGTGCAAACTGATGTGGGTTAGGTGTGGAAATGCAATGAGACGTTTACAAAAAAAACTCCCGCGTGAAAACGTGTCCAGGCAGAGCCGAAGGTGACGCAGACGACTGACAATTTCTCTGAAAGGCTCATTTAGTTCCAGATAAAAAGAAAACGTGGAGAAAGAGGGACTTGTGCACAAACTTCACGACTTGGCTCCCATCAGAGGTGTGAAAAATGAGATGGGAAGGAGATGAGGCGAGGAAAGAAAATTAGGTGCAGATGAGCGAAGGAATGGTATTTACGGTCACTGAGACACGGACAGGGGTGGACTGATGGAAGTTACAGGAGTCAGAGTGCCGGCGTAGATGGACCCAAACCGTGCACGGATGCTAAAATTCTTCGATAACAAGGAACGTGGGCCTCTGGTTTTAGATGCGATAGATGTGTGAAGAGCTGGAGCCAGTGTTCATCATAAAACAAAATGGAAAGTTAATTTACGAGAGCAAGAAGGCCGTTCGTTAGCCGAGGTTTTGGTTTGTGGTGGTTATTGAACAAGAAGGGGTCAGTGTTTACAGGGAAGCAATTTACTGCAGCCATGCAGGTTTTATAATAAACAGGAATTTTAACAAGACTAAAAGAGTTCCCTCATCTGCAAAACAAGCTGCCTTTACGTAAACAGTTACACAACCCCAATCATATGCATCGTACTGCATACGGCACATTGTACGCCCGTCAACAGACTTTTATACTGCAACGCAGCAAAATAACAAGACAAAGACCTTGTTTTAACTTTGACCTTGAACTGTGTGATGTTGAAGCTGGAGTGTATGCAACCCTCCATTTAGCGACGATGCACACGCGTATGAAGCTTCATTAAATTAGCTTGAGCGGATCAGAAGTTACGGGTGGGACAAGAGGAAGTTTACGCACAAACAGACAGATTATACTATGATACTACCCACCCCGAGGGGGCGTGTAATAAAAAATAAACACAAATGTATGGTTGTTACATGGCTACACAACCCGATGTATGATCACTCCTTTGTGACGCAGAACCACTTAACCTTCACAGACCACACGGCCTCTCAGAACTTTATCAACTAAATCAAATCTGGAAAAAGTAACTTTTATATTACTCTTCGAGCCTTCAGTTTTTACACACTCCCCCCATTTCAGGGATTCTCACAAAGCCTTATACAAGAAACGTTGCCCCGGGCCCTTACCTACATTTATATGAAAAGCAATTAATCAGAGCCATAACTGGAGTGCGGCGCTGCAGCCAAGGAATCCTCATGAAAGTCTACACCTCGCTGCCTTCTGGTTCTTTACCCCCCCGCTCTGACTGAGGAGACAAACGAGTCTGGGATGTGAGGAGACGACTTTTATTAAACAACAACGACGACATCAGTCAATCTCTTTCACATCACCAAGTTTAAAAAAAGAAAGAAACATTTGTTAAGGCACTGATTTTTATCAGTTCACCACTTCTAACGTTCCTGATTTTCCAGACAAATAACAAAACATCCATCCATCCATCCATCCATCCATCATCTTTACCACTTCTTCCTTTTTGGGTCGCAGGGGTTAGTGGTGCTCATGTCCAGCCATCACTGTGCGAGAGGCGAGGCACACCCTGACCAGGTCTCCAATCCATCACAGAGACACCTGGACAAGTCTCCTGCGTGGGTTTTCTCCGGGTGCTCCAGTTTCCTCCCACAGACCAAAAACATGCATGTTAGACTGATTGGTAACTCTAAATTGTCTCTAGGTGTGAGAGAGTGAATGGTTGTTTGTCTCGTTTGTCTCTATGTGGCCCTGTGGTGGACTTGCGACCCGTCCAGGGTGTACCCCGCCCCTCGCACAGTGATTGCTGGACATGGGCACCAGCGACCCCCATGACCCAAAATGGAAGAAGCGGGTAAAGAAAATGGATGGATGGATGATGCACAAACAAACATGCACAAACAAACATGCAAAAACAAACACATGTAAAAACAAACACATGTACAAACAAACATGTATAAACAAACACATGTAAAAACAACCACATGTACAAACAAACATGCATAAACAAACACATGTACAAACAAAC